TTGTGTATGTAAAATTCTTTCGATACATATATATAGAGAGAGAGATTGAACTAAAATAAAAATTATGAAAACTTGGTATAAAATGATATGAAAGTAAAATTTTTCATTCCTTTTTTCGTTAAATGAAATTATATTCGTACCAAAGATATTAACACGCCGTCGACTCAGTTTCTGCACATCATCGGAAGGAGAGTGATAAATGCATTAGTACACTCGACAAAGTGTTAAAAATTTATCGAGTACATTTAAAAAATTTATGAATACATTCAGCAATATTTTTTGGTATACGTGTCTGTTTTCTTTTCCGACGCAATCCACGTCACTTTCTGCTATCTATTTTCTTCCGAACCACCTCCAATCTAACCTACTCCCTAAGCGCTCTTTTTAATAAATTACTAACTCTAAATAAGTAGCTACCACTTAAAAATCCATCCTAAAACCTCGCTACACTTCAAAATACTCACCTAACCTAACCTAACCAACGCACGAAAAATAAAAGTCCTCTATTCTTTAATCAGAGACCTTCGATTCAGCCTCTCGTCAACAATGCGTCAATAATTTAACACACTCAAAGATACCAATAGGAAAACTAACTGTGAACTTATTTCACATTTAATACCGGTTCTAAACGCGCCACCATTACGGTACCCATATAACATTAAATCGAATAATACGGTTTAAACAGGTGCCATTTAATCCTGCGCGTAAAATCCTAGATAGAAACCTTTCAGCCTATTCTACGCGCATATCCATTTCTAAAGCAAATAATCGTTTAGCTTGACGGTTTCTTCGCTGTAGGTTCAAAGATTTACAGTTTCGTTCGGCGTGTACCGACGAAAAATTTCAGGACGGTCGTATGGGCAGGTATATCGGGGAAGAACCTGGTGGTTCTCTTTTGTTTCTCACTGAGAATGCTCGTTTTTCGCCTTTTGTCTCGAGAATGTAAAGTACTTAACGTGTGTAAAAGGGAAATTTCGTACGTATATATATATATATACACGTGGAATAGGAATGAACGTGTTCAAGGCCGATTAAGAGAATGATAAATTGGCCTAAGACTGCGGACCGCGATCAGTAGTGTTGTAAGGTGGGCTCGAGTAATTACGCAGGTAATAGGGAATTCTTTGTTCCGGTTGTACAGTTACTCGCGCGGCTTTAACAACCTTATTGCACGGAATAAAAACAGAAATTTTTATTTGAATAGCTCGGATCGAAATTGCTTGATATTGTCTATTTAGAAAGTATAATTAGTCGTTTTAAGAATTCTTTGGCGGATGATCGAGGGAGCAATATAATTTTTCGTTCGGATTATCCGTGGATAGATTAAATTCTTATTTACGGTGTAAAGCTTGTGTGAAGCCAGGATATATTTATGTACGTTACAGGAAATACTTAGGATATTTAGAATTAATTTTCCCTTTTTTTTTTGTACTATTTTTTGTCGTTTTTTATTTATACTTGATACGATAAAAAGTCCGCTATCTTTTACTTATTAGCGAAACTAGTTAAGTTTGTAATTAATTGAACTTTATCTCTGGGAGTGCGGAGTAAACTTTCACGCGTTTCCCGTGCAACAAGTCACTTCTTACAAATTGAAGTTTAATGAAGCTTCATTTCCACGAAAAAAACAAAACTGCATTTATCCCTAGAAGAATAGTTTCGAAATAAATTAAGTACAATAAAAAAATACAACCTTAATAAAACTTCACTTCCAATATAAAAAAAAAACTTGAGAATTGAAACTCAATGAAGCTTCATTTCCACAGAAAAATAAGTGCACTTATCCCTAAAAGAATAATTTTGAAAAAACTGAATTGCAATAAAAAATTTAAATCTTAATAAAAGTACACTTCCAATAAAAGGCTTTAGAATTGTATCTTAACGAAACTTCATTTCCACAAAAAGAGAACTGTATTTATCCCCAGAAGAATAGTTTCGAAAAAACTGAATTACAATGAAAAAGTGAAATCTTAATAAAAGTACACTTCCAATAAAAGGCTTTAGAATTGTATCTCAATAAAGCTTCATTTCCACAAAAAAAAGGAACTGCATTTATCCCTGGACGAATAGTTTCGAAAAAAATGAATTACAATGAAAGACAAATCTTAATAAATCTACACTTCCAATATAAAAAGAACTTTATAATTGTATCTCAACGAAGTTTCATTTCCACAAAAAGAGAACTGTATTCGTCCCTAGAAGAGTAATGCGGGAAAATCCCTGTGCAACTCGAAACAGATAATATCGAATAGTTAAATAAGGTATTTCCAGTTGTTCACTTTCCTCGATAAAATAATTATTGTATATAATATCGCGTGCATGTAGTGACGATCTATTAGATAGAAAAGAGAGCCCGGGTACAACACTGTGTACAAGTAGAAACGAAGAAATACTGAATAATTCAGGCAGTGACCGTAGCGAGTGACGTCACGATAGTATTCAGCCGGTGGACGGTTCAAGCTGAGCGACCATGCGGAACCCCATCCGCTTAGGTCCCCGCTGAAAAATTTCAGCTTTCCGTATAAATTCCCTTATGCGGCTGGACACACTGTCGGCAAGAAACCCTTAGAGGTCATCGTCGAGGAAACCATAGGCTAGAAAACATCGTCCAAATCCTTTTCTACCGCGTACCGTTTCACCTGCGCGCAAAAAAATCTCATTTTCTTGCGATACTTCCCGCAATATGGTGTTAGCATGCACATCCGCGAACCTGTGAATTTGCTTTTTTTTCGGCTGTATTACGTGTTTCTTAATAATCTGTAACGAGAAAGCTAGGTTTTCTTTCTTTTTTCTCTTTAGGTACATGATCAGTTAATGAATTGTTCGAAATTAGTTTGTGATTAAGTTTCTCATTGGTCACGAAAGGGTTACAGAATTAGGATTTTTTTGGATAATGAAAGTTTCTTTTCTTGGAAATGTGGGCTTTTTTGTGTCACTTCTCTAGTGAGATTTTAGGGAAATTTGGGATCAGTTTTTATTCAAGTTTCCCAGGGGCCACGAAAGGGTTAAGAAATCAGGAAATTTTTTTGATAAGGAATATTCTTATATAAAAAATGAATTCCTCTCAAGTCATAGGCTTTTTGACGTCACTTTTCCTTAGTGAGAAATTACAAAAATTCGAGATCATTTTTATTCAATTTTGTCACTGGTCACGAAAGGGTTAAGGAATCAAGAATTCTTCCGATAACGAAAATTAATTCTCCTCGAATTGAGAGCTCTTCGACCTCACTTTTTTAGTGACAAATTAGAGAAATTCGTGATCAATTCTTAATCAAGTTTCACTGGTCACGAAAGGGTTAAGAAAGCAGGAAATTTTTTGATAAGGAATATTCTTAGATAAAAAATGAATTCCTCTCAAATCACAGCCTTTTCGACGTCCCTCTTTCACCGAGAAATTACACAAAATTCGTAATCAATTTTTATCCAAATTTCACTGGTCCCGAAAGGGTTAAGAAATCACGAAATTTTCTCGATAAGAACCATTCTCGCATAAAAAGATGAATTCCTCTCGAATCCTAACCTTTTCGACGTCGCCGTTTACCCAGTATAATTTTCAGCGAATAATCAGGAACCGTACAATCGAGCACCGACCGGAAGTTCCGGTGGTTCACCATATGAAAAGCATTCCAGTCGAATTTCGCGACGATCCTCCACGCGATCCCTATTTTCTCCTATCGGCGGAGGAGAGCAGATCGTTACCGGTGGATTTTAATAAACAGCAACAGAGGTTGAACGCGCGACGGCGACCGATTCGAACGATGAACGCATCATTCTTTCAACATCTCGCGCGTCCTGGCTTCGTTATCAAGCATGGCCCATCGCCGGATATCTCGCAACTCGTACCGTATTTTTCCCGCCATTGTATGGAAATGCCAGAAACCTCATGTTTCTTCCAACTTCTTTTACGCCCGTCTCCGCGACTCGACCACCGAAAAACAACCATAAATGCTCTCCATAACATCCTCCCGTCTCTCTTATCGAACAACAGCCAGGCATTATCATATCCTACAGAACGTTTTGACGCTTTTCAAAAGGTGTATTGCTCATCGATGTCTAATTGTTTGCCCAATGACAAACTTCGTGACTGGAATCCTCGAATTTGGACCTTTGTGTCTCTTTATGTACACTCTATTAGGATTCTGCTCGAAGTTCATTAGGGTGCATAATGTAGGGTTAAACGCGTTTGGAGAACTTTGGTCGGTGGCCAGTGCAGTCAAGTTTTACATTATTCCCAGTTCCATACACGCTTTTTTACCATTTCAACTATTTTTTTCTTAACTTTCGAATTTATTTCGCAAACGTTCTTGCCATCAAATAATTCTGCATTTGTTTCAAGTAACAGGCGTGCAATAATTTCTTTTTCTATTGCTAATTTTTATTGCAATTTTTCTTTCTCTTTTGTTGAATTTGATTAGAATCGAGAGAAAATGGACGGTACTGATGAAAAATTGTGAAATTTTTATTACAAAGTTAGCAGAGGTCCTGGAATATCGATCACCGGGAAAATTTTCGAATAACAGCTGTAAATTTGACGAATAAAATTCTTCGTTCTATGGACTATCTTTGCGGTCTCCGCGTTGAATATTCAGCGGAACAAAGCGTTCTTTTAAACAAAATATACCGCTATTGGAAGAGCATAGTCCGTGCAATAAACAGGCGTACGCTCTGCTAACGTTGATTCGTGTTCACTCCACCGTGTGAAAAATCTCCTACGCAAGGTGAAACCTTGTATTAACGCGTGTACATACACGTATCGCGGCGCTTCTTTCCTCTTTTGAAACGATTATTACGTTCAGGAAAGTCGCTCGAGAGCCGCCAGACACTTTCCTCGTTAAACACAACCGTAACAAAAGTTTAGAAATTCAATGAAAGAGAGAGAAAAAATTAGTGGAAATTTGTTAGAAAACGAAAACATCGGTTACGAGAGATTATTGTTATTATTATGACATATTGCTGGTCATTTCGATCGTTTCTATTTTCTTTTTGTTTGCTTTTTCCAGCAATGCCAGTCGCTGATAGAGGAGAACCGAAGATTGCAGAACGCCTTAACGACCAATCAAATACCTCATGTACAAGTAATCGACAGCGTTTTCCTTCAGACCCAGGTTGAAACATTGCAATGGCAACTGAAACAGGTTTGTATGTAACCATGAACAACGATCGTTTAACATACTCGACGCGCAAGGGAAACTACTGGCGTGTCCTCGACCAGATTACCTTATTCCAATTTCTTCTGCTCCTCTTCGTTTCGTATCGCTGGACTGAGGATTTTTGTGCAAATTCCTGTCTGTATGAATACAACGAGAAAAGTAATAAAAGTTAGGTAGACGATTGTTTTATTCCATAAATATTTTTTTATTAGTTTATTTATAACAGTGCACTCTGTGTATCTTTCTGCCTTTGAATTTTCCATAAACGCGTGAAAATCCGCAGTCGACGTATCGAAAAATATTGCACGGCAATTTTCTATCGATTTAACATTGTAACGATAACAAAAATATTAATTTAAAATTTAAAAAAACAAATGAAGTAATTGTAAAAATGTTTAATCAAACAATTATTAAACAAACAATTGTAAAAATGAAGAAATTTAATTATGCAAAAATTTCAGATAGAGGCGAACAGACAAATGTACCGGTCCCTGATGGAGCAGGTGGTGCGTTTCTTGGACCGAGCCCGCAAGAGCTTGGATATTCTTCACGAGAAGAATAGTCTCAAGGACAAGAATTCAACGGGACGGGTTCCGCGTAGTCGTAGCGTTCACGCGGTGCACGCGGATTCCTCACCGAATCGTGGCCTCTCAGCCTCAACGTCTTCGACTTCCTCACGTTTCACCAGGGCAAAATCAGTCACCCAGATCTCACCGTGTACAACGAGCTACCGCGAGTTCACCTGGTCGATGCTTCGTAGAAACGATCCGGCACACTGCACTCCTCCGCGTAATAATAAAACTCAGGACCTAAACAAAACCCACGAAGGTGTCGTCTATAGAAGGCCGAAACAGCCGGAACTGAATCTGAACGATATACCACCTGAGAAACTGTCTCAAGAAGCATTTAGGTAACGTAGAATTTCATTTCGACGAATTTTGATATTTTCAAGTATATAAAACTAACAACGAATTAATTGTTGCAGGTTAATGAGGACTGTTCAATCGTTGCTAGCTATGAGAGAGCCAGATCTGATTAGGATCTCGTTCGATAACAACGATTCCTCCCCTTCACCTGTAGATCATCATCATCATCATAACAATCATCACAACGAGGTATCTCTCAACATGCAGAACAGCAGCTTTGCAAACTCTACGCCATTGCAGGAAGGTACTAGTTACAACAGACGTTCCAGTAGCTACCGTGAAAACGAACCTAGTAGTACCGATAACGATAGTAGAACGTGTTTCTTGAAATCGTCGTCGAATACCGTGGATGTTGTTGATCGAAATCTGCAGAGTTTACTTCCTGGTGTGAGAAGATCACTCGACGCCACTTCGCTCAACTCAGGAAGCAGCAAAACGACAGAAGAAGAAGATGTACTGCCAAATAATAATTCCTTCAACGTTTCCATGTCCGAGCATGAGGGGATATTCACGTGTACGACATCGTCCACCCCGAATAGACGTGCTAGGAAAGTGGAGAAGAAAGAGAAGGAGAAGTCTTTGAAATCGAAGCCAGCTGCCAGCGTGAGCAGTGTCGAAGATGAAAGCGGGTTCTCTTCTATGAGTTCCTTTCCAGAGATTGGTCTGCCCAATACTCTGCCAATTTCTCCCATAAGAGGGTGTCACACAGAGGTGGGTTTGCCCGAGGTGCCCTTGGAAAAAGCTAAACATCGCAGATGGTCTTCGACTCCGGCTGAAATTCAGGCTCTTTTTAAACAGCGAAACAGTTTCTCGACCTCTCAAACTACAGCTGAATCTCTGAGTGTCTGGGTTTGAACGCAGAGCAATACCGCATAAACTGCTTTCTAAATGAGATTAGCTCTGGTGAAAATGTATTTGATACATTGGAGACGACTGAACATTGACAACATAATGGAGAATTCTCTTACAATGCAATTTCTTTGTAAATATTTACTTTTTTTTTTTCTCTCTCGAAACATTCTGTTCATTTTGCATTTTTTTTCGGTTTTTTGTTCAGAGAGGTTCAACGTTCGAGAAACCTTCAGATAAGTTTGAAATGAAGAGTAATGCAAGTAATTGGGTATTTTGTTTAAAAATTCTTCTTTTTTTCTTTTGCTTGTTCCTTTGACATTAATTTTGTGAACAGTTTGACATAATTAACGTAGAATATGAATTCGTTCGGAGCTTTATTAGAAGGTTAATACGTACGCGAGTGTAGTTAGTACTTCTACATGTATTAGGGAAAAAACGTGCATAATTCTTGATAGTTATGAGCAAGAGATTTTGTAAAAGCTATATCTAGCATTTTTATCAATGAAAGTTCATTCAGAAACATTTACAGTTCACAAATATCGATACGCTACGCTAATATTGTAATTGAGCATTTTTAATTCTTGCAGGTACTTAAAAGTATTTCAAACAATTACTGCCTTCGAAACAGTGTTCAATTTCTACTTACAAGTATTAATAATGACAAAGCTAATTTATCAAAATTGTAATCTGTTTTTAGTTTTTATGGATTTGTACATAAAGAATGACGCATAAAATATTCAGCATTGAACAAATGAGAAATTTTTTAACCAGAAACATTTTTCACCATACAGTTTTAAGGTCCTTCTATGCATGCAATCACTGAACCAACTTCTACTTAGTCAGCAATGTCTTATCAGTTCTTCACAATTTTACATTTCGTACAATTTTAATGTCCTTTCCTTAACTATTCACTATCAGTTTTGCAAACTTTTAGGTTGTAGTTTGAAATTACATGCTGCAAAATATTCGTCACAGAACCGTCTAAAACACGTTCTACACAATTAAACTACAATTTTTTACTAACAGTAACAACAACAGATATGTCTTTAAATTTCAAGAAAGAAACGATGACATTTCTGACTCGAGAACACACCTAACACCGAACCTAACAAAACGCACCAGAGAAACCTTGAAAAAGGACGGTGGTCAAACGAGACGATCTTTCAAGAAACAAAATATTTCGAATAAATTATAACGACAAGGAGAGAAAAGAATCTGAAATAAAGAAAGGAGGAAAGAAACATCGTGATCGAAAATTGCACGAGAATCGCTGATCACGGTCAAGTTACGGGAGGGAAGAGGGAGAGGGCCAGGAGGACGGGTGTGCGCTCGGTCCAGAGGGTAGCCAGGAGATTCCCCCCCCAGCCGATCCACTTTTAGATTGATTTTCAAGAGCACCGTGCACTGGGTAGCGCTCCGCGTTTATTTTAACGTGGCCAGAGTGTTCGAACGGGCCGCGACCGTCTCGGGTGATAGTAGAAACAGCGTGACGAGGTGAGAGGTTCGGGTGCGGGCGCCTTTTCTCTCTGCCGGTCTGGAAGAACGTCATTCAATTTGTGTCCCACGGGAGGCACGTCGTTCTCGTTGTCGACGTCGTTGTTACTCGTTGTTATTACACGTTACACATCCGTGTGTGCTGTTTCTGCTACGCGTACACATACACACGTTGTTGGGTAGTGGCGTGTAGTACACACATAGGAAAGTCTATCTATATCTCTTGCTCGTTCTTTCTCGTGCGCGGCGGTGTTCTCCCCGTATAACGAACGGAGTGTGTGCGTGTGTTACCTCGGAACGTGCGGCTTCGTGGCGCAGTGCGTGAAATGAGTGACAAGGATCGTTCTTCTCCCACTCTTGTTGAAAACAGTCTCAAGTCGCTGCTCGATCAACCTAGTATTTTTCCATTGATCGGTAAGTATCTTCCGGCGAGTTCTCTTTTATTAATTCGTTACGTTTAAGAATGTGTATCTTTAGAATGCCCTTCTCGACGCGGGCTCAATAATCTCCCCTCCTCCACCTCGCTCGATCGTCTCGATCCGACGCGCATTTTTTCTTATTCTTCGAAATTCGCGCAAATACTACTTCAGCGCTGACTAGCGGCGATCGAACGAATGCGAAACACGCTTTTCCCCCCGTGTTTCCATTGACCTGAACCCGTGTCGTCTGATATTTTCATGAAACATGGATGGTCTTTGCGTTTGTGACGTTTAAATATTTTGAACTGTCCATTGTTGTCTTTCATTGGTACCGCATGATATTTGTATAGAAGTGTTAGGGAGGGAAGTTTGTTGACAGAATAGAAGAAGAATAAGGTGTAAAATGAGTAACAGAGAATAGTAAGCACGCATTTATGTTCATTGGTTGCGCCGGCGCTCGGTTCTCGGTCTCTCGATTAACCTCGTTTAGACCCCGTGGTGCACCACGTGATATTACCAACCTAACCTCACTTTCACTTGCTCAACCTGCATCTATATGCTCGGTTCAGTTCGGCTCAATACGACTGTTTCGCTCGCATGATACTAACCTTTCCCGATTCGACCATGGAACGAACGTTTACAAATGCCATAAGATAGATTTAAGTGGAAAAATGGCAATTACATGGAAGAACGAGAACGACATGTGTTTACCGAGGTTCGATCGTCTTTATTATCGTTTTTTTTCTCTCTCAGTTCGATCAGGAATGCGGTACCAATGTTAACATTTAACGTTGTTTCGTGTTTAACATTTCGAAATGCGTTTTTTCCTCGTGTTTATTAAGAGGACAGTGGGGGAGTAATGGTAGAGGAGGGAGAGTGAAATAAAATGTTGGTTGCGTAGTATTTATTTAGTCTATTCGTTCGACTATGGTATCTCAACTGACATTCATGAATTTACGACAGATTCGTAAGCGGAATTACATCGTACCAAACTTAGATTATTGTTCGTTCATTATACTTCTTGCGTAGCAAGCAACTTAAACTCTATTTAAACGTGTGTCGTCGCTTCCATTTATATTCAAAATAACTTTTTTCCATGCGTTGATTTACATTGTCAATTTAGAATGTAAATTACGATACAAAGTACGTTGGACCGTATCGAGAGGTAATAATTCGACTTTCTTGTCGAGCTGCATTATCTGTGGAACAAGGTTCGAGTCCACTTCAGGTAATTGTGTTTTGCGCAATCGCGGCACTCGTTCAACTTTGTCTATCGGTAATGGAAAGAAGAAAAAAAAGAAATATGTAGAAGATGCGTCCGGTGTTTGCGACGCAGGGAAAAGGACAGACAGAAAGAAAATCAGTGAAACTATGGAAATCTGATCAAAGTTAATTGTTTTAGCGACGTTGCACCGATTATTCGAAACATAGAGCCCGGTAAATTAAGGACAGTTCCCTGACTCAACGTAATGGCTTACTTCCCATTCAACTTTGCAACCAGTTTCATACGTCGTTCGCGATGAAATAGGTTTCATTGTAAGATGACATCAAACGATTAGAGTGAGTGATGGTAAAAATGATTATAAATATTCATAACTATGTTCTATTAAATATCAATGTATCAACACGTGTGTTTCTCTTGAGACAATTGTATTGTTGGTAACGCTTTGTTTTTTTAGGCTATGTGTTACAAGTGAAAACATCGTTTACGCGTAAAATCCAACCATTTACAGGACTTTCAATTGCGCACTTTAAACGAGCAGTGTATGTTTATGTTTCTTTGGTTATTATTTTGGTTGGTGATATCGTGCGACGTGAATGAGACAGGTTATTTAGATAGCTATACAGAAAGTCCAGATCCACTATCGTTATTATATATTTTGACGCTCGTGTTTTTACACGATGCTCACACGTTCCTTCTCGAAACGTATTTCGACAGAAAAAAAAAACGAAAAAAAAAATTTTTTTTTTCAAACCATCATATACCACCGATTGCTTTTCACGATTAACTTTATTACAGCTATCGCGTTTAGCTTATCTTCAGCTTCCATTTTGTAAAGTCGATAAGATCGAGTTCTTTACTGTTTCATTCTATGTATATTTCATTCACGATATTTATCAGAACAAACTTACTAATATATACATCCATATATATACACGTATTCTTACCAGTAGCAGTAAAAATAATTATTCTTCCAGGTTAAGTGTGAAAATAGAACGAACACAGAGGTTGATAAAAAATTCTCGTATAAAATTGATTAGCTACGGCATGTATCCACGTAGAGATCTATCATGGTGGTTGAATTGCATGTGCGAGTGGGATTTTTCGGTGCATATTAATGACGGAGCAGTTGGCTGCTCGTAATCATCGTTTACGACACTTTCACGCGATGTGGTTGGACATTAATTTACAGATTGACACTGAGATAACGCGTTACGTCATGATTTCGCTCAAGGACTGGCGTTTGTCATCGCAGAAATAGAAGTAAATTGCGAATTTACGGTTATCTGAAAAGAATAGCCGTGGGTGGAAATTGTACGCGCACGTGCTTTGCTGTAACAAGCTTTCTCCTTGTTTCAGAGCTAATTAACGATGCGTTTAAAATAGACAGACTTTGATATCTTAATGTACGTATGTATATGTATAAGTCGGTTCGTTAAGCAGATTCCAAGTGAAATAGTTCATTTTCATATTTTTTTCTTACAAGTTGTTTTTTTTTTTTTTCTGCCCTGTAATCTTTGGACTTTTGTCAGCAGTATTATTCATGATCTTACGCGTTGTACATTATCGATAGCATCGAATTTTCACTGTAAGAAACTTTGCTTGTAATACAAGAAACTATACAAGATAGAATCTCCTAAGAATCTTCCTTTCTTTAAAAAAAAAAGCACTTAATTTTATCCTTACACTTGAAAATTTCTAACCTTCAATAAATTCCAAAAAAAAAGAGAAAATCACAGTTTCAATAATTGCTACAAAACACCTCACTCAAAAAATTTCTTAGAACTTTTCTTTTAATACAAGAAACCTGGCAAGATAGAATCTTCCTTTCTTTACAAAAAAAAAAAAAACAATTGTATCCTTACAGT